ACAGCACACTCCTGAAAAAGCTGCAGCCCATGGCTTGGACAGGGACACTCTGCTGGGTTAGGAACTGGCTGGAGGGCCAGGCCCAGAGAATGGTGGTGAACAGTGTTGCATCCAGTTGGGAGCCAGTCACTAGTGGTGTCCCCCAGGGATCAACGTTGTGCTGTATTCTGTTTAATATCTTTATTGATGATCTGAATGAGGGGATTGAGCGTACCATTAGTAGATTTGCAGATGACACCAAGTTGGGGAGGAGTGTCAATCTCCTGGAGGGTAGAAGGGCTCTGCAGAGGGACCTGGACAAGCTGGAGAGATGCTCTGCATCCAATGGTATGATGTTTAACAAGGCCAAGTGCTGAATCCTGCACTTTGGCCTCAACAACCCCACGCAGTTCTACAGGCTGGGCACAGAGTGGCTGGAGAGCAGCCAGGCAGAAAGGGACCTGAGAGTTTGGATTGACAAGAAGCTGAACAGGAGCCAGCAGTGTGCCCAGGTGGCCAAGAAGGCCGATGGCATCCTGGCCTGAATCAGGGACAGTGTAGCCAACAGGTCCAGGGAAGTGATTTTGCCCCTGTACTCAGTGCTGGTGAGGCCACACCTGGAGTACTGTGTCCAGTTCTGGGCCTCTCAGTCCAGGAAGGACATTGAGGTGCTGGAGCAGGTCCAGAGAACAGCAGCAAGGCTGGTGAAGGAACTGGAGCACAGGCCCTATGAGGTGTGGCTGAGGGAGCTGGGGCTGTTCAGCCTAGAGAAGAGAAGGCTCAGGGGAGACCTCATCACTCTCTACAACTACCTGAGGGGAGGTTGTAGCCAGGTGGGAGTCGGTCTTTTCTCCCAGGCAACTATCAGTAGGACAAGATGGTACAGTCTTAAGCTGTGCCACAGGAGGTTTAGGTTAGATATTAGAAAGAAATTCTTTGCAAAGAGAGTGATCAGACATTGGAATGGGCTGCCCAGAGAGGTGTTGGAGTCACTGTCCTTGAAGGTATTTTGGAAAAGACTGGAAGAGGCACTTAGTGCCATGGTCTAGTTAACAGGTTTGTGTTGGGTCATGGGTTGGACTCAATGATCTCAGAGGTCTTTTCCAATCTGGTTGATTCTGTGTGATTCTGTGATAACAGGACCTGAGAAAAAGAGCGGTCTGGAGCAAGATGCACATAACTTTAAAATTCAGCCTGCATTCTTCTTTTTGTGCATACAGTCCATACCTGAAATAAAATAAACCAAATGCAATACCAGAACAGTTATAAACAATATTTCCAGCTGTTTCTTACTAAGAAATACTGCTCAAGCACCTGATCTTATACAGAAACAATTAAAGGAAAACAAGTTTTAATTTTTTAGGAGAAAATCTGTAGAAAAATGCAATGGGCAGGGGATGTGAATTAAGTCACAAAAATACAAAGATTTACTACTCAAAATGTTAACATAAAATTATCCCATTACCTAATGTCAGAATACACTACTGGCAATACATAGCATGGTCCAGATTCTAACTGATGAGTTTATACAACATCTTAAGAGATGTTCAGGTATAACTTCCCTTAGAGGTGTGAGAAATGTAATGAAATTAAGTAAAAACTAAGAAATCCTTGTTCTCATTTCTGAGCAGCTGTTTACAAGAATTTTTTCAAGGGACCCAAGGACTTAATATGTGCATCACAGTTCAGAACAAAGCAAAGAGCTTTAAAAGTTGTTGCATCTTCAGAGTTCCACGTAAAAGAATGATTTTCCTGGATGTTCTTTCAGGTATATCCCTGGGACTACAGCTTTGTTATTTTTGACCAAAACAGCTCTATTTGAGTCCAGAGTAGCCATGGATAAAACAGTGGCAACAATCACTTGATTGGTGTATATAAAAAATTAGATGGAAACCATGTTAAGACAAACGAGAAATGGAAAAACTGTCCATGAATTTCCTCCATCATATACTGTTGGAGAAGCCTCACATGTGAGGGTACTGATCACAGGGAATTTCAACCACCCCAGTATCTCCTAAGCAAGGTACAAACCATCAAGGAGGTTTAAAGAGTCTATTGGCTGTGATACCATACAGGCAATGATAGATATTTCACTGTTACAAAGTTATGTACAAAGTTATGATTGCCCATATTTCTTTTTCCACTGAATCACTATTCAGAGCTTTGGTGTATCATAGATTTATTTCTAATTATAATATTAATTATTGAAAAAGGTCTCCATGGGGTCACAGATTCCTTTAGGCATATCCACCTGCTTTAACATGGGTTCTGCACAGGCTGCAGATGGATCTCTGTTCCACCAGGGACCTCTATGAGCTGTAGGTACAACCTGCATCAATGGTCCTCTCCACAGACTGCACAGAAATCTCTGCTCTGGTGTCTGGAGCACCTCCTTGCACTCCTTCTGCTCTGACCTTGGTGTCTGTGGTCTTGTTTCTCTCAGATATTCTTACTTGTCTCCTTTAGCTGCTGTTGTGCAGCATTTTTTACACTTTCTTAAATAAGTTACCACAGAGGTGCAACCAGCTTGCCTGATTTGCTCTGTTTGACCTGTGGTGGGTCTGTCTTGGACCTGACTAGGACTATCTCTGTCTGATATGGGGACAGCTTCTGATCTCTTCTGAGAGAAGTCACCCCTGCAGCTATCCCTGCTACCCAAACCTTACCTTGTAAATACAATCGAAACATAAGTACTAATCAAATAAAACTGAAGCATGAGTGCATTGAAATGTTTTACTGAACCAGTGCAGAGATTCAACCTATGAATTCTGGGACATCCCCAAATATTAAAACTGGGTGTATACTTACATATTGTTATCAGTCAGGTTCTGGAACAGTTTTCATGCTGTGCTCATGTGTTATTTTGCAGGATTTACAGTTTCAGGGGAAAAAATCAATACAAAGTAACTTAAATGCATTTTATTTGACCTATTACAGGTACAGTCTATGAACAAAGAGAGGGTTTATATTGTTTTCATTAAAATTGGAATTTTTAAACTTGATCTTGTGTTTTGAGAGAAAGGAAAACAACTGCACCTGCCAAGCACAAGTAGGGGAGTTCCCCTGCTTGAGCAGGGGAGTTCAACTACAGGATCTTCAGAGGTTCCTTCCAACCTTAATCATTCTGTAGCTCTGTGAATCACACCAACAACCAGAACTATTTGTTCAATTAATTTTCTGCACTCAGATTTTAATTCAAAGTTTCTTAAAAGCAGAAACTGTACATTCATAGGGAAAATAATACTGAGGAAAAATGTTTTTGAATACTCCTGTAAAGAATATTTTTGATCAAAACAAAATTCGGAGGTTTTGAAGATAATATTGCATAAGCATGTTGTGAACTGGCAGGGACAGAGGAGGAAAGCAACATTAAGACATGAATATCTTCATCTGAGTGTAATCCTTAACAATCTCCAAGTCACTAATATATTAAACCTGCAATCACCTATGACTTGCCAGTAAATACATACCTGGTTTTCAGCTTAAAGTTTTGTCTCTACCATTGGTAGAGTGTCTAAAATCTTATTTGGTTATGTTTTTGTTATGTAGATATGCCCTTGCTGCATTTAAGAAAGGAAACCATTTTATGCAAAATATGGCAAAAAGAGTCTAAATTTCATTCAACGGCTCAATAGAGGTTTTCAGGTCATTTAATAAACTTGTTTAAAGTGTAATAGCTGTGTTTCATTTCCTCACACAGTATGATATTAAATTCTATCTACTGTCACATTTGACAAAACTTTCAGAAATTCTAGATGTGCACAGATTTCATCTTACCAATAGTTTTTCATTAAAGAAATAAAAATATGAATGAAATGGAGCTTAACTATTACTTTTGAACTTCTTGCCCATCTGTGGAACAGAGATTGCATCATTTTTCAGAGCATCTTGACACATTTTTAATAACTTATAAATTGAATAAATTGGATTAGCAGTCCTTGGAATAAGAATTAAACAAACAATCATAGCTCCTCACCCGTCCCCCACCAAAACATGACTATAATTTCCATTATAAATTATAATTAACTGTTTAAATATCCTTCTCTCTTCTACTAAAGTGAAACATAAGGATGGCTTCCACACAGGACTTTGTAAAATTAGAGAGAGAAATACACCAGTGTAGCTAAATGGTTTCTGAAATGTAATGAGGTTTTCACTGAGTCCTCTGATGAACTCAGGTGCAAAGAGGTAGGCCTTCTAGGCCTGTCTGATCAGTTAATGGCGTGTGATGCAGATGGCAATATAAGGCAGAAATTAGAGGTAGAATATATCCCTGTACCAGCAAACACAGATGTTGATAGTCCTTTATAAAACATTTCTGAGCTGCACAGCTAATTTATGTTTTATTACATCTAAACAAGTCCATTACACTCAGTACAGATAAAATGATACACCTGGAAATAGAATATAGCCATTGCTGCCAGGTGTCTAGTTCTTGAAATTAAAGACAACTTGTGTCATAACTTAGCTTTATTGCTCTACTTTGACTCATCTGGCATTATCAAAACTCCTAGTACTTTTGGTTTAAAATGAGGCATAAAGTATATGGGATTTTAATACAGTGGTTCAGACAGTGAAATAAACAACTTCAGAACAGTCCCTCATGAAGGGAAAGTTTACTTCAGTGACTTCTTATATAGTCTAAGGCCAAACATGATATAAACAGTTTTATACACAAAACTGCTCTTCTGGTTGTAACAAAATATTGGTAGACCCATGACTTTGCTTCATACCATTGAGTAGTTGCTTCTGGGAATTCATTTAGAGAATCACATAAAAACATGATAGCATCTATTTGGCATACAAAAAGCAAAACAATCTTGAGGGAAACAAGAGGTTTTAACATCTGTCCATACTTATCTAAGAGCAGACATTTCTTTAAAATGTTTGAAATGCACCTAGTACAGCAGCTGGACTGCAGAGATAAATCATATTAGTCAAAAATGTTATGGTCTGCATGTTCTTTTGTTTGTCTTTTTTTTTTTTTTCTTTTGTAAGCAAAGACAAAATTTTAAACTTACCTTATTGGTATTGATAGCCGTGATGACCCACACACATTGAGCATTGCTGTCATACTGAAATGGAAAATTAGGTGATGTGAAAGTGCCTCCAGGTCCCTGAAGATTGGATCCACAAGTTTTGACTGCAAAAAGAAAGTTTATCTTTTAATTCACATAGAAAATATATGTAGAAGATTCATAAACCAGTTTCTAACTTACTCTAATCAAGATGTGAAGAATTAAAATACCATTGACCAAAAATAGAACCACCTCTTACAAAAGAATCAAACATTCATGTTTACTTATTCTGACAGAATAAAATAGACTTTCTCTTGTGTATAAGCTTATAATCTTAAAAAAAATGTATTTGCAGTAAAAAGAATAGTTACACTAAGAGAAACTGTCCTATTTTTAAAACTTCAAGAAATAACTTATCCACCTTCACTAAGGTCTTGAAAGACAAGTTTAGATAGTAGAACAAAAAGATCACTTTTATCACTGTGCTTTTTTGTGCATATGTATTGGTGTATTGCATGTCAGCATTTTTTCTGCTGTGACCACTGCTCATTAAACCCATGGCTGAAGCACTGAAAACTTTAAAGGAAACTTGTAGAAGTTAGACTTACACAAAACAGTGTTAACTATTTCTAAAGACTACAAAGGACATTTATTTATAAATCAAAGTCTGTATAGTTATATACAATAGCATATCTTAAATAAAAAACAAACACTTTCTTATTTACTGTAGGTTGCATCTTGCATCACAAATAATACAAAGGATATCCTTTCTGCTTGCAAATGAGACTTTTAAGGCACTAAATTCCTGGTCTGCTGAAGTCAGTGACACTTTTATTGATGGTTCCTTGATATTCAGGTCTTTGCTGAATGTTCTACTGGTTAACTTTTCCTGTATGAAGACATAGAACTGACAAGCAACCTCACTTTATCCCAGTGATATGTCCAGTGATTATTATTATACCACTGTATTCTGAAAGACCATCTTGCTTAACTGAGTAAAAAAATTACACTTAGATATGTGAAATTACCCTTCAGTTGCATTGCACTTTCACAAAGCATGTTTATTTGATCAATACTGAACACAGGAAGATTCAGCTGCTGCTGGATGAAGGCTTGTTCCTTCCCTCACATTAGCCTCTAGAAAGAATGTCACTTTTACCACCCAACCTGCACCACTTCTACCCCTCAAAGAAGTTATATTCTGGTGAAAACTCTGTTCAAAGACACAACAGAAGCCTGAAAACAAGGAGAGAATATGGAGGTGAGAGGAAGGCTCCTCAGGGATCCATTGAGAAAATGATGAAAAATGCTGGAGGCCTATATGTATACAACTCATGAAGAAGGACTGACCAAACTGCTGTTGGTTAGTTTGAAGTAGATCAGGTATTCTTGAAGTATACAATAAGCCATTGAAAAGACAAATTAAAAACCTGCCCTTTATATAGAAGCACCTATTGAAAGAAGTTGTTTAAGTACAGCAACAAATGTTCACATTTGAATTAGAAAATCCCCTACTTGTAAGGCTAATGAAGCACTGGAGTGCTTGAGTAAGATCTAAGAGCACTTCCCTTGGAAATACATAATGTTAGACAAACACGTTCTGGGAATAAATACAGCTGGAGCAGTAAGGAAATAGAACTGACTGGCTAGGACCACTTTTGTCCCTATTTATCTATGATGCATTACCTGGGTCTATGTGTGTGTGTGCATATACACACATACATGGTTAGTCAGCAAGACATTTAAGAGGTCCAGATACACATCTGCATTTCAGAGAGAAGTGAGGTAAAGGTGGATTTTTCAAAAATGCACTGAAGGTAAGTAAATGTATTTGTAAAAGCAAGATCTAAAATTCATAATGTACATTCTGCTTGCTTATACATTTTAATCAGACTGATGTTTACAACCTATTTGAAAATCACTTTAGTCAGTGAAATGAACTGACCAAAATAGCAATACAAAGCAAAAAACTTGTGTTCTAAATTTGCACAAACCTAATTCACATACATAGTATCATTTGATTATTTTTCTACTAAGATTCCAAATTACTTTGTAGCATGATTATTAATTGGATGATCATGATAAAGATCACAAATCGTATATCTCCTTTAGTTTTCTCAGTTATAAAGAATTATTTCCTTCTTATAAACAATTTTTCCTTCTACAGATTAGATGAGCTTTTCCAAAATACTGTATTTGTTTCTGACTTGCCAGAAGACTTACAAAAGGCGGCATTCATAAATGTTTCACAGGACAGTGACTAAAAAACAAGCAAGCAGAAAACAGAAGTGGCAGGCGTGAAAATAAGAAGGCTGATGAACTAAATGTGAATAGATCTATCTGATTCATTTCCTGAAACGTAAATGAGAGGAAGAGATTTATCAACTCACAAATAGTTTCATAAAGTAGATAATTGTCTGCTTAATCAAACTGGCTTTGTAATAACAGCATTGCCCTGTAGGGGAATACTGAATCTCATGGCAGACAAATAAGTAGGGTTTCAATCTTGAACTGTTTAAACTTTCTCTCTTGAATCACAGAGAAGTTGATGTAAAGCAGACATGGTATTACAGCTACATATATAAAGCATTTCTTGGGATACAAAATAACTAACAACAAGAAATTTTCATCTTTCAAATGACAGATTTCAATCATAACTCAATATGTAATGAACGCCTGGGCAAAGATTCTCATGTCATTCCCTTTAACATTTTTTTTTCTTTCTCAGGAAGGATGGGAAAACATTATCTGTTCTGCTGTCCTCTAACAGTGGTATGTTACAAGATTTATATGAGGCCAATTAGATTGGAACAAATTTAAGTATCCCCTTCAGAGTTTTAGGCTTATATGATGCATCGATCTTGAAAATGTCAAGCTAAAGAAACCACAAATATCTGAGAAGATTAATCAAATTTAAAATTCCAATAAAATGGAGCAATTTAAGAGTTAATTTTCAGCTGCTGCTTATGTTAATCTATTTGTTTGCCTACAGCAAAGCTATTTCCTCATAGCCCTAAATTTTAACTTCGTTTCAATATCACTTGTCTGTAAATCAAAATACGGCAAATACCTTGATTTTTTGCCATATTTCTTTATCAGCCAAAACTCAAGAGAAGAAGTCTAAAAGATGTTGATCATCTACAAGGTTTGCTTGTGTTTTGGAAGTGATGTACCACTTTTCCTTCTCAAAGTCCAACTATATTTTTCCTGTAGAAATGCTTCAAACTTATACCAGGTTCACTTTCATGAATATGATCTTATGCCAGTTCCAGATGGTATTGCATGATAACTCCTAAAGAGAGTTAATCTTTCATTTTTAGCGGGCTGTTATATTCAGTCACTCATATGCTGTATGAGGACAAGTCCTGAGAATTTATGATGTCAAATCAAATGCATCTAACAGAATTGAAAAGCTCCTGTTCCTGCCCAATTGCAGTATCTCAATGCAACTAATTATGGATATTCACAAGCCACTTTTGAAAAATGTATTATTACTATAGGATTTTTGGTGTGTCCTCAATATAATTTGTATAAGTGAATGAAAACAATTGCAAGCTGTACTGTTCAAATAAGAAAAAGCACATGATAAAAAGCAGGACTTCAAGTGACATTTTAGAGAATAACAGATAGATGTTATTCTAAAGATGTTATATCTAAAGAGAGAAGTATCTAATATACCACCTGTGTCCTTGTTCTCTGCAAAGCTGCATCAATTTACAAGAAAACAATAATTTCTTGCATAAAATAACATTTGTGCATGATTGCCTAATTTGTTTTCCCAAATGGTTTCTACACAGACATGCAAGTTCAACTAAAAGAAGTAAACATATTTTTTCAGACCCTTCATGTTACTATATGATATTTATGCTACTTACACAAAATTCTTTTAAATGTTTATCATGTGTTCTGTGCATGAAATGTAAAGAAGACATCATTACTAGTCAGGAAGAAATGTTTATATTCCAGCTTTAGTATATCTAAGAGTGTAATTGAAACACCTTGTTATGAAAACAACCAAAATTATAGCACACCTAAGGTACTTAAATCAGTATTTTTAATGCAAGTAATGATACTCTAAAGCAGTTCATATTTGCTAAACTATAGAATATCTATACCGTCTGTCTGGCTTCACCATGTGGTATTGTATCAATTCCTAATAACTTTTTTAATATTGGTCATCTGCTTTCTAAGGTGAAATTAGTTCTACGAAGTTAGTGAGTGTAAAGAAGTGAAAGGCTGTGGTTTTCGGTTTGAATAACATGTTTCCACCACCTATGAATAATTAATGCTTACTTTATAATTAGACACATTTACTAACATGATTTATAAATTATGATTATAAATTATAAATTATGATTTATAAAATGATTAGTTCTTAATCATAAGAAAAAGTGGAAAAAATGAACTGAAGAATGTGGTTACTCTTTTATATTTAAGTACTTTAATATCTGCTGCTATTTAGAGTTCAAAACTTACACAGAAGTGAAAAGCAATGTATTTAATAACCACTTTTTCTTGAAGGCCATATTCCCCAAAAGCTACCTTTCAAAACTTACAAGTAGCTGTGCATACATCCCAGTCTTGACACAGTACTGCTGATAACACTTTATTGTCTGTTAGGAGAGATACAGTGTGTATGCTATTGATAAATTAACTGCTAATTACAGTATGCTTTCCTTTTAAAGTGTCTTTTAAATGACAGATTGTTAAATTGTATTCTCAAATGCATAATATGCAGAGGATAGCAAGACTTGGGGGCACTGTTTGACAGCCGGGTCAATATGAGCCAGTAGTGTACCCAGGTAGTCAAGAAGGCCAATGACATCTTGGCCTGTATCAAGAATAGTCTAGCCAACAGGACTAGGGAGGTGATCATCACCCTGTACTCGGCACTGGTGAGGCTGCACCTCAAGTACTGTGTTCAGTTCTGCGCCCCTCACTTTATAAAGGACATTGAGGTGCTGGACCATGTCCAGGGAAGGGCAACAAGGTTCATGAAGGGTCTAGAAAACATGTCTTATGAGGAGATGCTGAGGGAGCTGGGTTTGTGTAGTCTCCAGAAGAGGAGGCTCAGGGCAGACCTCATTGGTCCCTACGACTATCTGAAAGGAGGTTGTAGTGAAGTGGGGACTGGTGTCGTCTGCTCTGCCTGTAGTGAGAGGACCAGAAGAAATGGCCTTAAGCTGAGACAGGGGAGATGCAGATCAGATATCAGAAAAACTTTTTTCACTATTAGAGTGGGCTGGCATTGGAATAGGTTTTGCCCAGGGAGGTGGTGGAGACACCATCTCAGGAGGTGTTTAAGAGGCATCTGGATCTGGCACTGGGTGATATGGTTCAGTGTTTTAGGGGTTACAATGCTAGTTTTGGTTTGACGGTTGGACTTGTTGATCTTAAAGATCTTTTCCAATCTCAATGATTCTATGATTCTGTTTGTGGTACAATTACCATTTATATTACTGTTTATGTGGGATATAAAAGCCACGTATCTTTGGATTGTCATTTTGTCATAGTTATCATAGTAAATATGTAAATCCTATCATGCAGCCATACCTACATATGATCTTCATGATTTTTTTTTTTAAGTGAATGAGTTTTGAAATTTAAGTGTTCTTTCTCTTATAAAACACAGAGAATAGGGATTGGAAGAACTTTGAGGAGGTATTTAGTCCATTACCACACCTCAATATGAGTCTGTGTGTGTTTAAACTCTCCTGGATATACGTGTATCTCATATGCTATGGAATACTGCTGCTCACGTAGCTAAATTTCTTTAGTTCAGAAAGTTTTGCTAGCGTCCAACTGTAAACCTGCTTTTGCACAATTGTAGCGCATTATATCTTATACTTTCCCTCTTCTTTCACTGGATTCTTCATTCTTCAGATCAAAACAACCCAGTTCTTTTACACTTGTTTATACTGTTACATTTTAGAGAATTTTGATATTTTAAAAATTTCTTCTGTCCCATTTTCACAGGTCCACACTTTTCTTGAGACCTAATTTCCATAGTGGAGAAACTCTGGGGTACTCATATGGCACAGCTTTAGACACTTAAGGTGGGAGACAGGATCCTTGGTTAATTAGCTGTGTCTGACAACCATCTCCAGTGAGCTATCCACAGACAAAACAGTACAGGTGTGTCCTTCTTTACTAAAACAGTGGGGACATTGGGATTAAAACTTCAGGTACTTACAAAATACTAATTTAATAGGATTGGCTTTCAAACAATAGATAGATGTGAAATAGAAAAATCACCGTAAGGGTAAGAATTCCTCCTTACCTTTACACACGGGTCTATGATCACTCCATGCAGCAAAAACTTCAGCTATCCTCTGACAGGTGATACTTTTGGAACCTTGAAGCACATAATCTTCATCGCAGGAGAACTGCACTGTTGCTCCCAAGCTAAAATCAAACAATGACATAAAAAGAAGCATTTTTTTACAAATGGATACCAGTCATTTTTTTCCATTCTTTTAGATATGACAGCCCTGACAAACAATACAAACACATAATCCAGTAATTTCTGCTCTCAGTAGTAAAAGGCTGAAGGCTATGCATCAGCCTGACAGTGCACAGCATTCAGCCCTCTCTGGGCTCACTTTGGCATGAGCTGGTTTACCTCTTTTTAACAGTGATTTGGAGGTCAAGTGAAAGAATGGGATAAAGAAGAACTGCAGAGTCCACAAAAAACAGAGGAAGATATAAAAGTGAAAAGCTTAAGAAAATAAGAAAGTAAACATAATGTAAAGGCCCTTACAATGTAAGGTTGAAAAGCTTCTATATGAGACTGAGGAAAAAGAGTCACAAGACAGATCACAGAGTTGGAGGCAATTTCAAAACTGTGAAACACAAAGACTATATGTCACTAATATCAAAAGTTATGCACAGCTACTACAGGGACTACACTGTTAGAAAAGTTCAAAAGGTAGCATTGTAAAGACACAAATATCTTTCTCTAGATTTTCACAATAATCTATCTGCTTTAGAAAGTCACGTTAAGAAAATCTGAACCTCTTTGATTATTAGAAAAAAAAAAGGAACACATGAATAAAAATAACGTGAAAAATATAAGTAACCTTTAAGTAACCACAGACTGATTTAAAGAGGAAATACTGAGCAGAAAGTACACCATTTACGAATTACATTGAACTCATGGCAACCAAATTGTAACTGGCAAAAATTCCAGAGGTCTGAATGATTATAAAGAATGTACAACTATGATAATTATTTTTATCACCTTCAAAAGTATAAATAACGCTTACAATATGAAGTCCACTTTACTTGTACAAATCAGTTTTGATATTAAACTGATATTTGATAGTATATGATGTAAGCATACTTGACTCATAAACACAGTGTGATTGGGTAATTTACAAAATCTGTGACATATGTGCCATGTGTTTGAGACCTAATAAGGGCAGTTAGATAAGCAGATGATAAAACACCAGTCTAAGAAAGAAAATAGAAGAGCCAGAGATCAATTTCCATGGTAGATCAACTAAAAAAGACAATAATAAGAGAGCTTGATAAGGAAATATTAAAATCTGTCTCTCAGTAACTTAAAAGCCTAGTCTAGATTACCATTTTTTAATACTTTTCTGTCATTATCTATCTATACACTTTTTTAAAAATGGAAAAAACAGTAATTCTTTCAAAATTGTCTAGTAGGAGAGATCCTTCTTCTTTCTGATGACAATATTTTTTCTCCACTGACTTTAATCTGTGACATAAAAGAATTCAGTTCAAAATCCATCTTTCTCTTAAAAAAGTTTCATAACTTGAGTACAAGAGGATAGTGTCACCTCCCTACCTAGGAGGGTGCATGAGATACCTGAGGCGAACAGCGTGAAGATTCAAAAAGGACATGCAAATTAGTTTTCTGTAGAGCACTTGGCCATGGGTTTGATGAGGGTTTGATGAGGTAGCAACTTCATTAAAGTTTGGGGGTTTGTTTCATTTTCTTTTTCTTTGACAGAATCCCAAGTAATTTGAGGATGGTTTTATAGGACAAAGAGAGGTTCTTGATAGGATAAAATTGATGATATCTATTGCATATCCAGAGGTATTGCAGGAGGACATGTGAGAGTCCTGATCAAAGCCTGCTTGTATGTTAGAGAACTAAAAACCTGAGAATGAGAAAATCAGATCATGGAAGCCTGGAGCAGTCCGCCTCTGAACTGTGGGCAGGTATTATTCTAGAGAAAACTGGCAGACTATTCCAAAAACAGTGTGTGGGAACAAGTGACCAAAAACAGTGTGGAAAAATAAGGACAGTTTGATTTTCTGACTTATATTTGACCCAAACTCTTTACCAGATGAACCCTCCTAAACGTGTGACTGTATCTGCTGTGTAAATCTCAAGAGAACTGAAGCACGATATAGCTATGAAGTGGTTAATTTTTGTATATTACATAGACATACATAAACCAAAAAAAGAAGAAAAATCTAAAGAACAGCATGAAAATCTCTTACAAATTTCAAAAGCAAAACATATTCAGCAAAAGACCAGTTGTCTGTGGATGCAGCCAAAGGCCAGACTGGGTTCACTTAGTCCAGTATGCTAACACTAAAAGTGATGAAAAGTGAATGCTTAGAGAAAATCTTTAGAATACAGCAAACATTTATAGTTCACCTTCTGATCATTACCATATTTCAATCATTTATGATTAATGAACTTTCTGAACCAGAGCTACTAATTTAGTAGTCCCTGGGTGACTAAATTAGACTCTTTGGACGAGCCCCTTGCTAGAGCTAAGACTGGCAAGGCACATTAGTATGGAAACGAGCTTCTGTGGGTATATCAGTCACAAAAGAAAGTTCATATACAATGTGGGTTCATTAATAAATGGATGAGGCAACTTTGTGGTGCTGAAATCCAATATGGAAAAGCCAGAAATACTAAATGTCTCTTCTGCATCAATTTCTACAGCACGTGCTCCCAGGCATCTGTATGTACCAAGATGATTTGTGAAGAAGAGGGACAGCCAATACTGAGGAGCAACAGGTAAAAGAAGATGGCTGTATTCAAAGGCAGGGAGCCAGAGAACTTTCGCCAAAGAGTGCTGAAAAATCTGACTGAGCCTGTGCAAGGTTGGTATCATCTATGAAAAATTATGGTGATGAGAAGTTCCTAGTGACTATGGAAAGGCTATCATTATATGAACTTTTAAGAAAGGCAAGGAGAAGCTAGGAACCTTACATCAATCTTTAGAAAGAACACGTACTCTAGGAAAGCATGAACAGGAAATTAAGAACACTTACACAGATTTACCAAAAGATGAACTGTATTTGATCAACTCGCTTGTCTTCTATGCTAAAATGACAGGCTACATAGACCACTGGTAGAGCTATTAGTGCTCAGTGTAACAGCGCTCAACATCAGCAAGGTTTTTGACAGCATCTCTTACAGCAGTGTCTTATGAGAGATGACAAAATATGCACTGAATAAATATTCAAAATTGGCCTGGCAGCTGTGATCAAAGGATAGGAATCAATGGCTTCATATTCAGCTGGTGGCCAGTAATAAGCTGAGCATTAGGAAATCAATATGGAGTCTTATCCTGTTTAATATTTACATCCTCAACTTTGACAGTGAGACAGAATTTATGGATCCATGGATTTATGGATCATACAAAAGTAGGAAAAGTAGCTGACACACTGAATAGCAGAGCTTCAATCCAGACACCTGACAAAGTTCAGCACTGGGCCAACAGAAATCTCATGAAACTCAACAAGTAGAGGTACAAAGTTTTGCAATATTGATCAGTAATGTGTTCTCATCCTGAATAAAATAAACTATATACTTAAGTACATTAGAAGTGGTGGCAGCAGATCAAGTGGTGGCAGCAGATCAAGGGAAATTATTACTCAGCTGGTGAGGCCGTGTCTGGAATATTAAACCCAATGTTTGGCCTCCCACTTCAAGACAGAGATTGCTAAGAACTCTAGCGTTTGGAGGTTAGTCAGAGACTTAGAGCACCTGACCTACAGTAAAAAGCTGAGGCAGTTGGGCTTAATTAGTCTAACAAAGGGAAAGCTAAGGTACTATCTAATAGCAAATCTTAACCCCTTCAAGAACCATTACAAAGCCAAACTTTTCTAAATGTGGCAAATAATATACGAGGGACAGTTTAGAAGATTCAGATTTTACTTTGGAAGGAACTTCCTTCAATAAAGCGGAGCAGAGCTGCAACAGCATATTCAGACTCCTGTGGACTCTTCAGTCTTAGGAGTTTTCAGGGTTGGCTAAACAAAGCCACAGATGATCTGATTAGTCCTGCTTTGGGCAGGAGGTTGGAGTAGATGCCCTGTGAAGGACCCTTCTAATCATTTTTCTGTGACTCACTTAAATTGTTCAATTTATTTTGAATTCATTCAAAGCTTTTGCATATATAATATAATGTGCTAAAGCATTTCAGAGCTCCACATTTGAATGCTTGACTCTCAGTAACTTTATCTGCAAATTTCTCTTTCTAATAGGACAAAAGAGGATTGCCATTAGGTTTGAATTTCATGAAAACCTCCAAATTTTGGATATATTTTTGTTAGAAAAAAAAGTATGAGTAAATATTAATAAGGAAGTTATACAAATTTGTAAAAACTTTAATCTCGTATCTCTTTTAAAGTCTCCATCATCTGCCTCAACCCCTCTTTAAACAACACAAACTGAAAGCAGTAAGAAGGAGTCTAAAATGAAGCTACAGAATCTCTGAATGATGAGAAAGAGTAAGCCTAAAATTTTGAACTTCATATGAAGTTTATACTGAATAGTATTCTTTTAACAGCTGGCATTCATGTAACAAACTACCTCATTTTAGGTTTTTTTCCTCCATTATTTGATATATTCTTTAAATTATTATTGATCAAGAATCAATTATTCAAGGAATAAAAACCTCAAACTCAGCTATAGTGATAAATTGTATTATTCTGCACTTTGAACTTACATTTCTTGTGTAAATTTTGTGATGAGTAGGTGAGACAGACTAGAAAAAGAAGATGATTCAGTTTGGATTTTTGCACTCATATGCAGGGAATACATCTGAATTTGTACATTGAAGTCCCATATTTTTTCTGTGGAATCAACTGAAAAGTCACATATAAATTCAAGTACAGAAAAACATTCTCCAAGATTCACATGTTTCTGCTGTATTAACCTATTCTGCTCATACCTGCAACTGAACAAATTTGAGAGACATCATTTTTAGCCATTAAAAAAAAAAAAGTACAACCAGAAATAACTAACTATTATCTCTCAAAGTCCATCTCTATCAAATAACTAATTTAATATTATGATATATTTCAATGCTAGCGTAAAGAAACAATCAGTATGTCAGCACATCTCATGCTGTAAATAGAGTTTTGTTAGATTTTCAGGATGTTTGGCTTGAAGTTTCAGAGTCTAGAAGCTCACCTTGCGTATCTGCAGAGAAGAGTGTGTGATTCAGAGAAGATTTAAGGAAAATTACATGTGAAACTTCTAGCTAATCTAGCCAATCAGTATTTCACTTCAATGTCATTCTTCTGAAGAATAACTACAAATTAATTTATAATATAAAATGAAAGAAGATATTATCATTATTTATACTGTAAGTCAAGTCATTGATAAAATAAATTGTCTTTAATATAAACTTCATATTCTTCCTTCTCTCAATAGAATATGTATTTTAAAGAGTACCCTAGCATTTTTGTGGCTGTCCAAGAGCATTCACTGTTTTGTTGTGATCCAAGTTTGATCAGAATCTCAACTTTATAAATAGCAGTTGTATCACATTACAGAGGTAGAGGGATAGAGATGGGCTCATTCATTCATTTCATGAAGACAGAACTTTGGGATGGCAGTGGAGGAACATGTTTGCCTCATAATAAAACACCTGCGCAAGTATAATTCAATCTGGACATGTTTATTCCACTAGAAGCAAAGAAAAAAACCCTTCAAAACTCAAAAACTAAAAAAAGCAACATTATCACATGAAAACCTTTTCTCTTTATCTACTATATCTTTCTTATATTTTCCATAGCGGCATCGGTTCTAAAATTGGACACGTGTGAAAAAGATGTGTATTTTATTGTATGACAGATAAAGTAAAAAGGAAACTCTAGCATAATACTCACTAGTACATCTAAAATTTTAACAAACTTATGGGGAAGAGAAGCTTTCTTTCTGAGGTAAAATATTTTTCTTGTACAGGAAAAGATGGCAGCCTTTTTGACTTTATTTCAACTCGCAAAATCTGTTATGCTCAAATGGGCATCTAGCATCAGAAACAAAGTCTTTACAACTTCAAAATGTAGCGATGGGGAATTTTCACATTAGATATTTTCATTTGAATTTTCATATTAGAAAAAAATATCCAAAAGGTAGTTTCAGGTCCCAAAGAATGTCATGAAATGCTGATATTTGTCTTAGAACTTGCATTACAGATTTTCTAAGTCTGTATAAGAACCATGTAAGAACAAATGAATGTGCTGAGAGTAGGTAGTGTTTATAATCAGAACAGGAGTGAAATTGCAATAAAATGCTTCCAAACCTACACCTTCACTTTGAAGAAAGCTAAAGAGAAGTGAAAAGAGCATGATCTTCTCTAAAATAGACTAAATTGTACCAAAATTAGATTTTGATTGATCTTAATAAAGATAGAACTAAACCCTTCTTCAAAATACTGTGTTTTAAAATGAAGGTATTGTAATTGGAATTTTCTCTTTCTTTTCAGAAAGGAGAAGAAGAAAGACAAGGTAAAGTAAAGCTATTTCCTTCATTACAGAGAGAGGGACTTCAAGAAGGGAAAGGTGAAAGCATGCTATTTTTCCCTCCGTCAGATATAAGACAGCATGGGAAAGGTTTTCTATAGTACTGGATGTTTTTAAACAAATGTAAATGTATTATTTATTTATTTTAAAGAATTTGTAACATTCTTACTTTGGAAGCTTATGAAGCTATTGAGCAACCACTATGATAGTGGCAAGAATTGAAACCATGTTAACTTAAAAAGGAATTTTAATGAGTCTGCTGAAAATTTTTAGTCTGCTCTTGTTCCCTGTAAGATCTTTTTTCAATGCACGAAGTGTTCAACATGAAATAAATGTGCATATTCTATTAACATCCACGAACGCTGTTCTTTACAAGTACGAATCTCAACATTCACATTCATAAGATATTTAACAAGCCTTAGACAGAAAACCACTCTATTTATTCTGAACATATTAAGAGGAATACAACCCAAAGAGTAATTGTTACCTTTTTCAAAGCCTGTCAACAAAGTGGCTAGAAATTGTGCATATATATGTATATCTCTTCTCACTATTTCCAAATACAATGTTTTTGTGTTATAAAGAGAGGCTACCACAAAATAGTGGAAAAAAATCTTTTCAAAGGAAACTAGTCTTTTTTGGGTTGTTTCTAAGAGCTACACTCAGAATACATCTTCCTGAACTCTGGCAGGCTTGGTGCTGTAACCATTTCCCTGGGAGCTTCTTCCAGTGCACAACCATTCTCTGAGTGAAAAACCTTTTTCTAATATCCAACCTAAGCCTCCCCTGACAAAAAACTTAGGCCATTCCCTCTGGTCCTGTCACTGGTCACCACAGAGAAGAGATCAGTGCCTGCCCCTCCTCTTCCCCTCATGAGGAAGTTGCAACTGCAGTGAGGTCTCCCCTAAGTCTCCTCTTCTCCAGGCTGAACAGAACAAGTGACCTCAGCCACTCCTCTTATGGCTTCCCCTCAAGGCCCTTCCCCATCCTTGTGGCCCTCCTTTGGATGCTCTCTGACAGCTTAATGCCTTTTATATACTGAGGTGCCCAAAACTGCACACAGTACTCAAGGTGAGGCCACAGTGCAGAGCAGAGCGGGACAATAACCATCATATCTTCTTCAAGGTACTGCCCCTCACACAGAATAATCTTGGCAAGTAGGTCTTTCAGTGACCACATGCAGAGATAACACTAGAAAAGGGTGGGAATCTTCTCTGTCAAAGGCGTTCATTCTCAAGGAGTATTTTTGAAGTTAAAATATAAAACACTGACCTATATAATGATTCTAGAGAGCATGGTAGTTAAACACAGTGAATTTATTTTTATTTATCTGAAAATATTGACAATTTTTTTGCCAACTGACATCACAAATGACATTTTTATAAAATTAGTTATAAAGCTTTCTTTGATGCACATTAAACTTTTTCTTTTCTCAAAACTAGAGAAATAGGAAGACTATAATAACTGAAATTATAGCGACTGACTGCTAGCTAGCACATTTACTTAGGATGTCATTTTCAATTTAATGTTTTGCTTGATTGTGAGGAGAAAAAACAAAAAACACACAGAAGAAGGTACAAGAAATTATGTAAAAGAATGAAGTATCCTAGTTTCTTGTATCTTTGTACATCTCCCAGATTACTCTAACAGTTATTATCTTCAAATGCTTCGAAGTGTGCTATGTGATATATAAAACACAAAATATGTAATAACAAACCTGAATGTAATAAAACCAATTAATTTAAAAATTATCAGTCTCCCTTTTAATAATTTTTTCCTTTCATTTTTCCTCAATTAGGTGTTTCAGAGATTTGTAAACATAATGATAATGTGAAATTAGCATATGATGTGAAACTAGAACACAGATTTATTCTTTTTATACAGTCTAAAGTGTCTATATATAAAATATAAAATAATATGAATGTTAACACTTTTAAAATAATTGTTCAACAATTGAAAAGGAAGCAAGTGAGAAACTCAGAAAAGAGATTAAAATGAATTCAAAACATTTTCAAAAAGTGATTATGTATGTGTCTCTCTACTCAACCACTGCTGATACTGAAATTAGGAGTCATATGTGTTCACTGAGAAAAAGACAGTAGAATGCTTTGAAAGAGTATTAAAAACCTTTTTTCCTTACAAGATAAGGAATTTGAAAGATAGCTGAGAATAGAGGAGAATATTTAAAAATTAATGAAAAATATAGTCTGCATTAAAGATGCTAAACCACTACTAGGGAAATACATCTGCATGTATCAAATCTCTGGATTCCTCAAAAACATACTGTAGAAAATGCAGTACTCTCTATTATAGTCCAGTGAATATTTCTATAATATCTGAAATTTCTTCTCTGAGGTTTTATTGTTCTTCTTGTATTGCATTCAGTTTTGCTTTGTCCTTCACAAAAACCTCCAGTACCACATGTATGCTCAATATTTGTAAATCTAATACAGTATTTACAGAGAAAATTACTTCAACTTACCTTCAATCCAATTTTTGCCAGATTATCAGAGATATATGCTCTCTTCCAAGTAGGAATTATATTTCTTTGCATACTAAGTAGAGGCTATATTGAATGACATAATTTTACACAGAACTTCAGATTACTTTTTACTGAGAAGGTCACTTTTGAAAGAGTACTCAACAACAGTAATACATTTTTAGCAGATACATTTTCCAAGTTCAGTATTAGAGAAATGATACAATGGTAGGATTTATATTTTACCTAAAATCTGAGCCTATCCGTTTTCCATTTTCTGGTTCTCCAGGATCTGGACACAAATTGGACGCCTGTTTAATACCTCCCTCATTTACTGAAAAAAAAACAAAAACAAAAACAAAATAAAATAAACAAAAAAAGAGATAAAATAATGTAGTTTTTACAAAATACAGAGTTAAGCAATTAAAATTGACAAATATGAAAAAGTATATTCTTTCCATTTTAGGTCTTTTAAAACAGATTTTCTACAGAATACGATCACCAATATAAACTCTAGTTTCAATACATAAGTTTGTCCTCCCTATAAGAAGCAAAGCATGTATTTTCTGATTTTTTTTTCCAAAAAACCCCACACTTTTTAATAAGATGTATTAATCAGCTATTTTTTTTGTTTGTAATATTATTGAATCCGTATAGAAACTTATTGCTATTTCCTTAGAAACATTAACATTTAAAGGAGTGTTCATCAGGTTTAGGGATCTAAGGTTTTATTATGAATATACGCTAATAAATGTCATCTCCACTAAGAGCTGACCTTTTCTCCTTGAATTATAATAAAATTTGAATGTATAAGCTCCTGCTGAGAGAATTGTCCTTAATCAGTATGGAAAATGTATATATTCCCAAAATATGGTGATCTGAAGGTAAACTCAAAATGCCAGTTTGATTTGCATACATTTATCTTACGATAAACTAAAACAGATCTTCAGAGATAAACTTCCTGTGAACCATTCTGTGTGTTTTTCTGAAAATTTGTATGTAGCAACCTAAGCCTCAGCATATTCCTCAACATATTCAGTTACCTCTTCACTTACTTTTTTTTTCTTTGAATTATATACTTTCTTGTAATTTTTGCAGCTTGCAAAAGTATATCTTATAATAATAATTTTAGGTCAAAATAATTCTACTAACTTTTGCACTTAATTTTTCAAGTTCATTGAACCCAGAAGTAGCAGAGTTCAAAAAAGCCAAAAAGTTAGCAAAGGAGGTTAGTCTGCTATTACTTGGTAAACTCATAGCCTTATAGAAGAATATTAAAAAAAAAAATAATACAAATTTACATGAAGCCAAGAGATTTATATTAGGCAGAAAGATTTTAACATTTATTCATTTTTATTACTGAACTAGATCAACGGATTTGCAGTACTAGATTTTTACTTTTCTTTAAGGAAAAAGTTTGCATATAATTAGGGCAACCACATTACATTGTAAATAATACACATGAATAGAAAAATATATATTCTAACTATGTTTCTAAAGGGTGTTCATTAAATTTCAGCTTTTAATGAAGAAGAAAATAATTCAGAATACTTGGGTGTTTTCCCTTCCTTGAGATTTGTCTTACACACACAGAGAAAGGGAAAAATTGGTTTAGTAACCCTGAGAAAGCCAAAGGCCAAATGCAAATGTTGCAGAGGCTTAAAAAGAAAACATCTCACATTAGCACACTGCTCAAAAAACCTATCAAGCTCAGCCCTTGTCAGCTGGATCCATAGTATTTACCCTCTTCTGTCCTAAAATACCTCTAAGCTGTTCAAGGTTGCTCTAGTAGCAAACCAAGACAGTCTCTGTTCATCTGCATCTCTATGTTCAGGGGACTTTAGGGACAGGACAACTTTTTCTCCTGGTTCAGGGTTTCAGGTTTCAGTCTTTTCCTCCCCCAATATTTGTACATGTGATGAAAGTATATTAGCTACAGAAACCCAAGTTCATGCTAATGTTGGAAAATATATATATATATATATATATATATGACAACTACAATTGAAAAAACTGCATTTCACAAGGCTATCTTGTTGGATAAGCATTTAGAATTAACTGAAATATCTTTGGAAATATCTGGGTGGTTCATTATGAGACATGAGAAATCCAGAATCATCATAAGTAATCTGAATATACAGAGAAGACATTTCTGACATTAAATATATATTAAAACTATAGTTAGGAAATTATTCATGATGCCTGATAATAATATTATAGAAATTATAATGGTGCCATTTGGCCATGCATCATATAACAATGCACACAGAAAAAATTCTTTACTATAAAAAATAAAGTAAAACTATTATTTAAACAGATTTATTTCTATTTATTATAATTCATGTTTTCATATTTCAAATAAATATTTTATATTTGGACATTATGTTTCCCCATACACAGGTGCTAGAGGAAATATTAATATAAAAAGAATATTCTACTGGATTTCAAGGTATTATTATACATTATTATACACTATTATACACTTCAATTTCTATAGAAAATGGAAGCTTGAAAATCCTATTGCTTTTTTATATCTTCTGTAAAAAGTTTCATTCTAGAAATAATCTACAAAATAGATTTTTAAATTATAAGATATGGATTTGTTAATATTCATAAATAAAAAATATAAAGGCTTATGTTAAAGAAAATCAATAAAATAATTAATTTCTAAAAATAAGACATATAGTACAGTAAAAATACAGAAGAAAATGAATAGGTAGAAGTCATTAAACAAATTTCTGATTTGATCCCAATTCTAAAATGCATTTACACAATTTTAAAACCAATCTGATTTCTGTTAAGTACTTAGTAAAAAAAAACTGCACATTTTAGGATTTTTGTATTGATGTTACTTTTACAGACATAATGCTTGATTTTTCAGTCTACAGCTCCATGTAATTCCACAGATATCTGTTTTACACCCCAGATGCTCATATGACAATAAGCAAAGAAAGGGTTTCCTGTAGTAAATTAAAGGCATCTTGGGAAAGCACTCATTGATGGTGTGGTCAAGAAACTGGGAGCAAGAAATTCCAGAGTACTAATCCTGGTTGAATTAGTTCCCCAATGAATTCATTTGGTGTCAACACTTCTAAAATTAGGTTGATGCATACTTGTTTCAAAGTGTATCATCATACCAAATATCACCATTCTGGCTTTCCTCTATGCAAATCACCTATGCATTAGTATTGAATGTTATATAACATGGAAAAAAAAGATGTAAAATAATGAAAGGACATACAGATGAGAATGCTAGATGAAAATTTCTAAAGACATTGCTAATATAAGACATAATGTAAAATAGGTCACTTATCCTTATCCTATTACCACTAACAGTTGAATGATGTACGTTGTTTTTTTTAAAGGACCTTATCTGTCATTGTAATGCAAGTACAGACTCAGTTGAGACCACACTGCAAAAATTGTCTAGTCAACAGCCAAATACATAACTGTCTTATGAAATACTGTTCTTCAATTCCCCAGCTACCAAAGTGACTAGCTAACTAAAGGCTAATTGCTATATAAAACCTTAGTTATCTATTTATGACAAGGTTAGGATGACTAAAGACACCAATTACCAAGATTTTCACCTTCACTTATTATTGACTCATATAAATAATCTATTCTGCATAATCACTAAAAAAGATAAAGAAGTTTTCAGCTTTACATAGAATATCATAACTATGAAATTATATAAAGACCTTCAAAAATATATTGACAAATTTCATCACTAATTTCATAATAATCAACTTTGGACATCAAAAGTTTCTCATAATTCATTATAAATATGGAATTTCTATTAAAGTTTATATAGAAGAAAATGTAAGGATTAGTGCAAAATACATGTATAGAGAAAGTCTCTTTTATCATCCATTGTATTATTATCGTTTTTAACTATAAAAACACAGATGGGCCACCAGACAGAGATCTCAGTGATGTACTTTATAAACACTACTGTCATTATCTTACTGTTATTTCATATTGTAAAATCACTCTACTTTCCATTCACCCAGTACTCATAAAAAGAATATTTTTTTAAAAATATCTCCATACAATTTTTTTAAATAAACCAGAAATGCCTTACAGAACTATTTAGGTGATGCAGTTTACAGAGAAGTTGAATATGGCAATACGTTACATTACAAAACTGAGTAGAAGTGTGTTTTGCTTTGTTTTTCTGACTTGGTAAATGTTAAAGGGTCTTGCTGCTTGAAGACATCTTTCTATAAAAAAAGAAATCGTATCTAATACATTGACAGTTTAAAATCTAACACCGAAAATTAAAACCTATGCTAATGTGTCCTGCTAAATTCTGGAAACTGAATCCATCACTGACAGTGTTTAACAAAAAAATTAGTGCAAACATGTCCAACCTAAGGTGCTTCAAAAACAAGTTCTTTCATTCCTGTGAAGAATAATGAAATGTAGTATAATCAGACATAGGCTAAACATTGTCCATTTTATTTACTTCTAATATTTAAAATCTGGTTCTATTCCAAAAAGAAACTCTATAAAAATGGCACATTCTTTTACAAAAGTATCCTTTTAATGTATTTAGTGATGTATGTATGGCCAGTCTTCGCGAGCGAAGATTTGGGAAAGGTCATTACCCTTGGAGCCTGCGCAGTGGATTTTTTAGGTGAGACACAGTGTGCGCTGAACTGAGCCCACCCTTTAATCCTGAGGTTCATCTGCCGGGGCCGAGCAGGCTTGGACAGTGGCAGTGAGGTCCTCAGGACATAGGTTTGTTTAGAGTGACCTTCTCTTAGATGGGTGGCCTTACAGGGCTGACGAGCTCCATCTGCCCAGGGGAGTTTCCCTGACTGGGAATCGAACCCGGGCCGCAGCGACTTAGTGATACACCTATTTAATTTGTGCTAGAAAGTCACCTGATTCAGTTTTTAATTTCTCTAATTAAAATTGAAGGTACTAAGCATCTCCAGAATTTTTAAAATTTTGGTTAGTTAATCTGTTAAAAATGTCAAACTTAATGACTTTTTTAAAAAATAATTCAAAGAGTGACCTCAGACGTGTCTCTTGAAAAAATATGTGGTTGTGCATTTGTAAATGAGGATAGGCTTTGGTTTGCACAGCCTTCTGATGTTAATGTTCAATTAAAATAACAGATCTGTTCATAGGAACTAAGTTTACAGCTGACACCTAGTAGGCTGAATATTTGTTTCCTTATAAATATTGTAAATTTAGTTTGAAATGACTGACAAAATAACATGTCCTTCTACAATGCCAGATTTATAGAAAGACTGCCTTTAGAGTAGAACCATATTTAAAAATTCACCATGCAGACTGGAGAAACCAGTTCTATTAGAAATACATAAATAATTTTGAAAACACACAAACAACACAGCACAAACTTCACTCTTGCACTAGAAAAAAGTAACAAAAAAGGAGTACACTCACAGATAGAAAACTTGTTGCTGTTGTCTTTCCCTGGAAACAATTTAAATCCTCTAGATTTAAAATCTATGGCCTTTTTCACTAGTTAAAAAAAAAACAAACAAAAAACAAAAACATGTATCAGGTAATACAGTCTAGAATATTTCATTTCATTTGACAAATTTTATCATGGAAGTATACGCAAATTAGAGTACTGGCTACCTAACAAGTTCAGATTGTGTACTTTTGGTGGGAAACAATTTACAAAAATAAATATTGAGACCGATTTGTATACTTGACAAAGGAAAGAAATGAGATTCGTAACTTATTTTTCTCCTCCATAATAAGAAAAAAAAAAGTATGGCCAAAAGTGTTTATTTCCATGGACCATATAATTGTGTAAAACATTGCCACACATTTATGGAACCTGGAAAATGAAAAGAATTATAATATGTTTGCTCTAAACCAGCGGTTTCTTCTGTGTTGAGAAAATGTAGTTACTTATCCCCTGCTTTCTCCATTAAAAAAAAAAGAAAAAAGATATTTGAATACAAAAAAATAAAATACAGTCTATTGTTGATTCTGCAGCTGATCTTCTTTCTACCTTAAGAATTGTTATTTTCAAAGTGTGATATGGAAGGTAGCTGGCTCCCTCCTCTCCCCCAAGCCCACAGCTCATCTGTTTCTGTAAAAGTTGTTATTTTTGTCTGGCTTTATGATAAAGATAGTTAATCCAGGCAAACCTTGTGGCCTCAATGTACCTTTGAAAGAAAACAACCAATAAAAAGAGAGTAAACCCAAAACTTATATCAGCAATGTAAGCAAGAATAAAGCAAAAGCATCACAAGAAACTTTCATTTTCAGTCATTAAACTAAGGGCCTCTTATCTCTAATACACTTGGCCTATGAGCAATGAACCATACACTAAAACGGACCTCCTAAAGTATTTTAAATTTTTAAGTATAGGTTAATTTAGGTAGAGTGTACTTGACTGGCTTTATAGAATATATATATTTTAAAACTATACGGAAGAAGATGTTTTCTATTAACTACAAGCAAGTACTGCAGATGAAGACAGCATAGACTAAAGGAACTAGGTCTAGCAGAAGTTAACATAAGAAGATAGACTGTACATCATCAAAGAATTTTTCATGCCCATTAACTTCTTACAGAAAATTGATGGATATTCAAAGAACCCTGATGTGAGGCATAAATACCAAAGTAGAAAAATATTATTGATATCTTTTTATAAGTAAATTAATCATTACCATACACAAGAGCAGAACAGGATTTGGGAGAAACAACATACTACTAAGGAAGACAATTTATAGGACAGATACAGGATGTGCTGATAAATATTTTTACACTTCTGATGGAAGAGACCGTATTTTCTTATAAATACAGAGATGTTACTATCTCAAGAGGCAAAATGTAAATTTCCTTGTGTATTATTACAATTTAACTTATAAACATTGATAATGGTTCTGGGAAATACATTATTTGCAGAAGCAGAACTTGTCTGTTGCACAAAATACTAGGTTATTTTTAATCCTTAGTAGTAGAAGTCGTCCTTCCCCTCCAAGTCCAGTGGAAGTCATGGGCCCTACCTTCTCACAGCAGAGCCGTACTGGAATAACAGCAGTGCTCTCTAGCCATTGTCTTAGCTTTCTAAAATGCTATTTCTATGTAAATAGGAATGTTGGAGTATAACTGTAACCTTCTTTTGGCTTTGAGGATCAATATAAAATAACTCCTCATGAATCAGAAGATAGACTGAATTATTCTTCCAGTACCTAAGTAAAATGGGAGTGGGCTTGAATGAATGACCTCAGGTGCTGGGACAGGTTTAAATACTCTCTCCTCTATTTTCAGAAATCATCATAAGAACAAATGGAAAAAGGAAGACTACTTTGTATTTTTTTGTTTGTTTCTACTCATTCTCAAACACCTGAATGGCATATCCACAGTTTATGTACACAAGAATAGTTCATAAGATATAAGGTGGAACTCAAAATAGTTACAGGAGTGTCTTGGTGAAGACATTTAAACACATCAGAGATTTTAATAATAATTTGCATCACTTTGCTAAGGCTATTAAATACCACTAGGAAAGTAAGCAATTCCAGTTCTCTGAAGAATCTTTACAACACAAGAGTAAGAGATTTAACTGGATGTTAAATCAACGGTATGTTGATTTATTGACCAGTAGTTTCTGAATACCCTGAAGGAGTAGTTATAGAAATTTATTTGGTCCAAACATGCCATCACTAAACTCGGTGTTAGGCTGTATATGCATGTACATACATAAAAACAACCCCACCATTGCAAAAAAAAAAATTCTCTACCCGATAAATATTCTATACTCGGCAAAATAAGCATTATTTTGCACGTCATACACATGGCAGTAAATATTGAATGTGGATTTCACTTCTCAGAAGTCTCAGAGGAGGGGCTCGTGACAGAAAACAGAGCAGTTGTACATTCTAAGTAGTCCACAAAGGGAAACAGACACTTTAAGAATGCAATTCATCTGGCCTTAAGATACCTACTTTTTCTTCTGAAGAGAAGAAAATAGCTTACACCAAAAAGTAGGATACTCCTGTGGAGGCATACTAATGTAATAGGAAGATAGGGATAACATTCTCCCGTACTTTGGGGAATAATATTTCATAACTTAAACTAATTGTGCACCTAAAGCTTCCTTTATGTCCTGTCCTTCAGTTCCTTTCAGAATCAACCAAAATATAAAACTGAAAATTTAGATCAAGAAAATAAAAATGCTCAGAGATCAAACTGAGCTAAATTCTATTTGCAGTAGAATAAATCTTCAGTATCACTTTCATGTCATTAACTATGTGACTGTAAAGACCAGACAAGTATATTTTAAAAATAATATAAATTTATAAAAACCTATCTGACATAACCATCTATCCAGTGTATAATGCAAGGAGAGGCTTAAAATTTTTTTTAAGACTACTTCAAATACATATGGCTTTTAGGTTGGTTGGGTTATTTGCTTTAAATTTATAGATAAAGACAGCAAGTTTGTTTCTTTTTATTGTTTATTTTTGGAGGAGAAAGAACACTAGTATACATCTCCTATCCAAATACATCTCTGACAATCCTGAATGTATTTTTGACTATGTGACCTGAAGAAACATAAACAGTAGCATCAGAACTGTGTAACACCAAATCAGAGATTACATCAAAAAACCCTGAAAACCTAAAAATAATTTAGCCATCCACCTTGGGACTTCTGCTCAACACTGTTCATGTTGGTTTTTTTCCCCAGTTTAAGTCACTTTAATACAAATAGAAAATTAGAATGATAGAATCATATGATGGTTTGGGTTGGAAGGGACCTTAAAGACCAGCTCATCGCAACCCTTCCTGCCATGAGCAGGGACATCTTCCACTAAAACAGTTTGCTGAAAGCCTTATCCAGCCTGGCCTTAAACACTTCCAGCAATGGGGCATCCACAGCTTTTCTGGGAAACCTGTTCAAGTACCTTGACACGCTCACAGTAAAGAACTTCTTCCTAATATCCAATCTAAAAATACCCTCCTTCAACTTAAAGCCATTCCCCCTTGTCCTGTCACTGCATGCCCTTATAAAAAGTCCCTCTCTCTTGTAGGCCCCCTTCAGGTACTGGAAGGTTCTCCAAGGTCTCTCCGAAGCATTCATTTCTTTATATTGAACAGCCCCAACTCACTCTCTGTCTGTAAAGAAGGCCTAATGTTTTCTGTAAATAAGACAAATGGAACTGAATGCTTTATTGAGGGGGGAAGGATACGAACAATCCCGGTAACAAAAAAAGTCCAGGTAAGAAGTTTTGCATGACAGATGTGTGTGTTAATATTCAGTCAATAGTCAAGCCAGAGTCATGTACATTTTTCAAGTAGCTAATTTATGTGTAAAGTGAAATGTATTCAGAATTATTTTGTTGAGGTTTCTGACCAAAATGGTCTCTCATGTAAGATAAGGGAGATTCAAACACTTACAGGCAAAGTTTTAGACACGTATAAGAAATAAAAGATTTTCTTATTTTTTTTCATAAAAGGGCTGTGTAATTATGTATATTTATGCATATTCATAAACATAAATACTACATACAAACACTTGTGAGAGATGACTAATCCAGACAAGTACCATATTTTCATATCCTCTTCAGGATAGATGTTGCACTAAAAAAGGACCTCAGGTAAATAAGTTTCAAGCATATATGTCATAAAAAAAAAGATAGGTGTATAATTTGACTAACAACCTTGAGTGCAGTAAACTCTCATACACTAGAAAAAAAATAATTTTGAATAAAGAAAAGATTGTTCAGTTGACACAGTTCCGGTTTCATTGTATCATGAGAGCTACATTAGACATAAATTTCAGGAAGGAAAATTTTCTTCTACAACAGAAGCATCGGGGTATAGAGCCATGTGAAGGATATTCATTTAAAACACTGTCAACTTACAAATTCTTGCTTTTATTTTGTAAAGGAATTTTCCGTCTTGTCATGTCTACATTCTGTAAATTTTCAAATCAAGTAAAAACTATATTTAAAATGCTGAGGGCTACAACAGCATTGTTCTATGCAAAATCAGCACTTGGGTTGCATTACTATAAGTAACTCTACAGAGTATTAACCAGGGAAACTTGGGCCTCATCTGACTTTATATATTTATTTCCTTTGGTGTAGCTCAATGTAGTTCAAGAACTGAAACAGCCTTTCCCTTCTCCAGAACTGTTCTCACTTTATATTCTCTACCACTCAGCTAGTGGAGACAGAGAACGATATCATAATATCAAAGCCACTATTTCAAGCCCTATTTAATTGACATCTGCAAAAATACAATACCATGTGAAGAAAAGGCAGTAGGTGGTTTATCTGACTGTGCCTAAACTTTTTTTGCATATACATCTTTTTGCCCCCTCATAATCTTTGTATTGCTCTGTTTCTCATCTTTGACATTTTTTTAAAATCAACTGCAAAGGATTCTCTTCAACCATATCTGAAACAAAAAAAAAACAAAAGTAGTCTTAACCTACTTTTTTTCTTTTTTCTCACAAGGCTGAGAGAGAAAAGTTAATCTTTCCTATAAATTTG